GCAGCGCTAGCGACGCGCCCCGCCATCATTCCAGGGCCCAGGCGGGGCGCCCCCAACCTGCCGCCCACTTCTGCCCCGACAGGTCGGCGGGGCCAGCCAGACGGGCCAGCCCGGCGATCTCCCAGCGAGGCAGCCCCTCGGAGCCTTCGACGTCACAGGCAAAGATAGACCCCTCAGACGCAAACCTGCCCACCCATCCCAAGGTGAAGCCCTGGCCGACGACCGCCACGCCGGCGCGAACAAAGCGTCGAAATCCACGACTCGACGGAAGAAGGCTGGAAAAGACCACGATCTCGGCATCGTCGACGATGCGCTCCAAGATGAACTGGGCGACGTAGCGGCCCTGCCCGACCACGCACGTCCGCGGGCCGGAGTTCGACATGAATGTCTCGATCTCGCCGCGGATGTCGGGGTCTACGCACATGTCCTGGCCGTCGCCACCCACCGCCAGCAGTGCGAGCTGCATGGGCAGCGGCCCCCGGAACGCGGCTGAAACGCGCCAAAGTCCTCTACGGCCAGAGCGCGCACGCCGCGCTGACTAGCCATGCGATCGCGGGAAGTCGTCTCGATAAGGCAAGACACCCCCCAGTTCGCTACCTGTGTCTCGCTGCCAACTCCTGCCACATACAGGGGGGGTGACAACTTCGCCCCAGCGGGCCGCGGCCTCAGCTGCGCCCTGTGGGCCAAAGTCGCTATGAAACGCAATTCCCAGAGGTCGTTCCATGCGCGGGCGTCGACTGCGACGCCTGACCGGCCACCTGGTAGATCGGCGCGCCCCAGATGATACGGAGAGTTGCTCGGTGCACACACGCCTGCAAGTACACGGCGAGGTCGGCCGCCGCGGGGGCGCCTGCCCGCACAGCGGCGCGCGCGGGCCAGGGCGGGCGTCGCAGGGCACCGCCGCGGCCACGGCCGACGCGACGCTGGACGCACAGCCCGGCGAAGCGTTCTGTGGCCAGGGGCCGGTCGAGGAGACCGCGCTCCTCTGGCAAGCCCCCGTCTGCCGCCGCGCGGGCCGGCGCCGCGGGCACCAGACACGTCGGCACGCGGCCTGCACGCGTGAAACGGAAGTCGGCGACGAAGTCGGCCGGGCCATGGCGCGCCCGACAGCGCGCCGAGCGGGCGCCTGTGTTCTGCATCAATTGCAGATGACATGCGCGGCGCAAGATGCAGCGGCACCCGCTGACCATGCTGGGCGGCCTCGAGGCGGGTAGGACACCACCTCGCACCGCCGGTGAAAATCGCTACTGCGGGAGGCACGGCGCGCGGAGCGGCCGGCATGAGGGGGGGGACAAGCAACGGTCTCTGTCCGACTCTGCGCGGCCCGCCGCCGCTGCTCGCCCTGCTGCCGCGCGAGCTCGAGTCCTAGCTGCGCGCTGTAGAGACCGTCGATGCGTCGTCGCAGCGCGCGGCCGAGGGCGGCGGGCGCGTCGCGCTCGGATCGGCCACCGCCGCTGGACATCCAAGCCCCGCGGCCGGCGAACCACGCGGCCTCTCCCAGACGCCCGGCCCACGCTGACGGGGCTATTCTGGCTTGATTAAAACCAATTCCTGGGAAGACCCCCGCGCCGGCGTCAACCAGGCTTCCGGCGCGGACTCCGGCGGCCATATGGCACGCGATCCACGCGGAACTCTTCTGCCGCGAGCCGAGATCGGAAGCGCGCATGCCCAGCTCGGCAACTACCCTTCGGGGGGCAGAGCCGGAGGCGCGCCCTGAGGTCGCCTACCCAGTCGCGCCCCCGAGCTTGCCCCAGCGGGAACGCAACGCCCACTCGCGCCCACCATTGCGGAGTGCGGCGCCGCGGCGGCGTTGGCGGAGCTGCCGGGGCCGCCGACGTCGACGGCGCGGCCGGCGCCGCTTCCCCCGCCGCTGTCACGCAGGCCGGCGACGCAGTCACGGGGCCCGACGTCTGCGCAGAGACTTGCACGCGGCCCATGAGCCCTGCCACCCCCCGGCGCAGTCGCCGCAATTCGGCGTCGCGAAGGCGCGCGGCGGCGACGAAGACGCGGGCAATGCGCCGACCCTGCGCGAGCAATGGCCGCGGCCAGCTTGCGTCAAGACACGCCCGATGAAGCACTTGGAGCGGCCGCTGGCGCCGCTGGCCGCGGCGCAAGCGCAGCTGGAGCGGGCTGTCCGTCGGTTTAGGGGCTAGCGCTCTCCATGGGGCCACCTCCCCCAGCACCCGCAATCACGGGCTGCGGAGCCCCGCAGGCGCCCCTAGCCACCCACGCCGCGCAGGCCCCTGGCGCGGGCCGCTGCCAGGACGGCCCCGGCGGAACGGCGAGGGCGCCGGCGGCGACGATGGCGCTGGGGCGCGGGCAATAATGAAGAGAGCGAGCCCTCGGCCTCGGCGCCGGGGGCGCTCGCGCACGAGGAGACCCTCGGCAGCGCCCGCGGCGTTCGAGACGCACCCCGCCAAGGCCCACGGGATCACCTTGGCGGCCCGAACCCACGCCACTGGCCCTGCACTCCCTCTTACCTTTACCTCTGCCCCTGCCGAAGCCCACGAAAGCTTCCTGGAAGCCGTTTTCGGAAGGGTCGGCCAGGGGGGCTCGGAAGCTCGGCGGCCCTTGACCTTCGCTGCCGGACGCGGCGCGCGGGCTTCTCGTCGCCGAAGCTGCGCCAACGTGCCTCGGCGCGCGCGCAAGTCCGGGAGAGGCGCGCACCGCTCACACAAACGTCGGGCACCTTGGGCCGCCTTCGGCAATATCTTCGCCGAATGAGATGATGCCACTGGCGTCGGCCGCTGGCGCGGGCCAGCTCGGCGCCGCCCCCGCTACGCAGCTGGGCACATGCCACCCCAGCTCGATCTGGGCAGCGCCACGGGCAACGCGAACCTGATCTCGCGCGGCCGCGCCCGCAGAGTGGACCGCCGAAGCGAGATTGCCTGGCGACCCCTCGGCCATGCGCCAGAAGCGCCGCGGCTGGCCCGTCGCGCGCGAACTGCACTGCTTTCGCGGGGCAGGCCACGTCGAAGCGCCGCAAGGTCACGGCCAGCTGGACGTTCGACACGCCAACGGCGCGCAGCAGCCAGAAGCTGAGGCCCTCGTAGCCGATAATGGAATGACCATTTTGCTGCGCATGGTCGCGGAGGATGTCGAACCGCGCGAGGAGGTTGTCGACGCGCTCTTGTGGCAGTTTGTTAAGTTCATAAGCGCGGATACTGACGAAGCGCGCTCATCCTCGCTCCACCGTTCGGCCAAACTTTGCATGAGGAAGGTAATCGGCGGCAGTGCGTCGCCGTTGCTGAGCCCCCCCTGGATCAGGACAGCCAGCGGCCTTTCGTCGACGCGCCCGCGCGCCGCGCCGGCGGAGCGCCACGAGACGCAGGCCGCCCGGCGAAACACGTCGAGGTCTGAGTTCAACACTGACCAAATCATCACCCCGCGCACCCATCTCTAAAAGGGCACGCGGGCCTGCTGCTCAGGCCCCCAGGTGCGGAGGTGACGCATGGTGCCGATACCGCCGCCTGCGCCCATGCACGAGAGGCAGCTGGCGATGGCAGTCATGCCAAGCGCGATGGCCTTCCATCCGGAGTGCAAGTCCCCCCACGCGTCGCAGGGGCACAGGAGGCCGAGGGGCCACCAGCGGCGCTGCTCGGGCAGGATGCATCGGAGTCGCCACGGGCACTTGCCATGGATGTGCTTCTCCTCGTCGGCAAACTGGGCGTAAACATCCGTCGTGCGGCTGTGGTGCTCCCCGTAATTACTCTGAACATCCAGCGACACAGTCACAAGAGTGTTCCTGTCACGTCGCGCTCTCACTTAAGGAACACCGCCAACTGCGCGATAGTCAAGAGGAGTGCGCATCGGGACCAAGTCCTGCCAGGCTGCAGCGCATGCATGGGTAAAACGGAAACTCATGCTCCGAGAAATCGAAGACGGGTTTTTCCAGATCCGTTTCTCTGTCCCTCGGAGGGCTGGCAACACAGCCACCAGGCCCCCCATTGTCTCCCAGCTCTTTTCTGCCTGTTCCTCCCAGGGCTTTCGTGGCACAGTCACCAAAAGCTCGGGGCAATAACCGACTCCGTAGACGTGAACGCTGCATCGACCAACTGTCCGACTTCCCACAAGTGGGCGCATCAAAGGAGTAGGGTCCGCGAGCAAAGCCGACACAATCACTGAAGCCCGGGAGGGATCGCTGAGAGTTCCGGCAAGCGGTTGGCGCCCTTGTAGATCACGCTGGCGCGCGGGAAGGCGTAGCTTTGCACGTTCCTGGCCACTGGTCCTGCAGGCGGAGGGGCGGCTGCCCCGAAGGGAAGCGGGAAGAAATATAAGCGAATGCCCATCGGGATGAATTGTTGGATGTTGGGCGGCACTGTAAAAAACGGCGGAAGAATGGAACCTGCGCTATCGAAGCGATACGAGAACGAGAAGCCATTGCGGCCGTGGCATTGGAGCCGAAGCTCCAATACAAACCAGGAAATAACATGGGATGTCTGAAAATGAAAAAAGCTGTACTGACAGCGACATCTGTGTGCAAACAAGGTTAAAAGCGGGCGCGGTGCCTGGCCAGGCTGCAAACGACAGCGGCACGCAGGGGTGAGAACGGGCAGGAACGACCCCGTTCGATTGGGAGGAGGAGGAGGAGGAGGAGGAGGAGGAGGAGAAAGAGGAAGAGGAAGAGGGAGAGGAAGAGGAGGAGGAAGAGGAGGAGGCGCGGGAGAGCAAAAAGTAGGAGTCCCTCCACCGTCCTGAAATCTGGGACATGTCAAATAGCCCCAACCATACATGCACACAACCCTAATCTTCACCCCTCACCCCACCATCTTCGACGCCAGGTGGTCTTCGGGTCATAACTCTGGCCTCTGGCGGCCACTCGGAGAAGACCTCCAAGAGCCAGCGGAAACTTCCTCCCCCATCCCCCCTTCGACAACGAGAACTTCCTCAAGACGCTTTCGGGACACCCCCGCGGAGGTTTCCCAGGACCCCAACGGAAGGCCGGGGGGGGAGGAGGGGGCGGGCAACCTCGGGCCAGGGGGGGCACGCCCTCCGCCAGCGCCCGAGGCCGAGCACGTCGCACTCGTGCGACACCGGCAACGTACGCGGGCTCTCCTCGTGGAACGCCAGCCGTCGTCGTCATCGGAAGGGAAGGAGGGAAGAGGGGGAGGGGGAGGAGGGAAGGGGAGGCACGTAGGGGAGGTAGAGGAGGGAGAAGAGGCAGAAAGGGGAGGAGGTAGAGGAGGGAGCTAAAAATCCGCCGGCCCCCTTGTGGGGCCACCAGGCTGCAGGGCCAAGCTTCGCAGTTTCCTGTACCAGTTGCAGCTTCCACTTTCCACTGTTACAGTTCTGCTTCCTGCTGCTTACTGTTCCTTGTTGACTTCTTGCTGCTTACTGTTCCTTGTTGATGAACCGCGCGAGGGGGGGAGGCCCAAAACGGGCATTTTTACCACGCCCTGGGAGGGTTCTCAGAATTTCTGGGGGGTAAAAATTAACACCCCTCACGCAGATCGGCGGGGTCAGGGTCCAAAAACACAAAGGATTTGCCACATTTCTGAAATTCGGTGGCACCCCTCACGCAGATCGGCGGGGTCAGGGTCAACATGATCGACCCACGAACCCGGAAAGGAATATAGAAATGTAAGGCATGGCAACGTTTCAAAAACACTTGATTGGGCGACGGGCAAATGCAATGCTGGATGAATCGATCTTGATGTACCGTGCCGAGGGCTGTGCTGTGCTGCACCGTGCTGAACTGCGATGTTCCATGCCGCAATTGTGCTCTATCTATATATATATATATATATATATATATATATAGCGTTGTGGATCGAGTCCTCCCTGGCATCCGAGTCCTGACCGAACTGATCTGGATCTTAAGCTCGAGCTGCCTGAGCACATAGTATCTGCCGCAGAGCTAATTGACAGGGGGACATACTAGGAGGACGCGCCGCGGAACGTCCCACGGGACGCGCCAGGCGACGTGCCAGGGGACGTGCCATGGGCACGCACCGCGGGACGTGCCAAGGGGACGCGCTACGGAACGTGCCAATGGACGTGCCGCGGGACGTGCCAGGGGACGCGCCGCGCGACGTGCCAGGTGGACTCGCCAAGGAACTCGCCAAAGAACGTGCCAAAATGCAATGTTGAATGTATCGATCTTGATGTACCGTGCCGACGGCTGCGCTGTGCTGGCCGTGCTGAACTGCGATGTGCCATGCCGCGAGTGTGCTCTATATAGCGTTGTGGATCGAGTCCTCTTTGCATCCGAGTCCTGACCGAACTGATCTGGATCTTAAGCTCGAGCTGCCTGAACACATAGTAACTGCCCCAGAACCAATCGACCGAGGGGACATGCCAGGAGGATGCGCCGCGGAACGTCCCACGGGACGCGCCAGGCGACGTGCCAGGGGACGTGCCGTGGGGACGCACCGCGGGACGTGCCAAGGGGACGCGCTACGGAACGTGCCAATGGACGTGCCGCGGGACGTGCCAGGGGACGCGCCGCGCGACGTGCCAGGTGGACTCGCCAAGGAACTCGCCAAGGAACGTGCCAAAATGCAATGTTGAATGTATCGATCTTGATGTACCGTGCCGACGGCTGCGCTGTGCTGGCCGTGCTGAACTGCGATGTGCCATGCCGCGAGTGTGCTCTATATAGCGTTGTGGATCGAGTCCTCTTTGCATCCGAGCCCTGACCGAACTGATCTGGATCTTAAGCTCGAGCTGCCTGAACACATAGTAGCTGCCCCAGAACTAATCGACAGGGGGACATGCCAGGAGGACGCGCCGCGGAACGTCCCAAGGGACGCGCCAGGCGACGTGCCATGGGACATGCCATGGGCACCCACCGAGGGACGTGCCAAGGGGACGCACTACGGAACGTGCCAATGGACGTGCACTGCGCGACATGCCAGGGGGACTCGCCACAGGACGCTCCGCGGAACGTGCCAGGCACCATGCCAAGCTGCAATGCTAAGGGTATCGATATTGATGTACCGTGCCGGGGGCTGTGCTGCGCCTGGGTGACCTGGACACGTGAAAACACGCGTTTCGCTCAAGACGTTCTCAGCACATCCTCATGCTAGACATCCACCTGAGCAACCTGGACACGTGCAAACAAGCGTTTCGATCGAGACTTCCTCGAACAAGCGAATTAGTCAAGACATCCTCGAAATTCATGCGCGCGGGACGCGGCACGCGCGAGACATCTTCGGAATTCCTGCGAGCGGGACGTGAAAACAAGCATTTCGCCTGAGACATCCTCGGAATTCTAGCCCCCCACGAGGCCCCCGCTCGAGACATCTCCCAATATTGCAAAACCAGCGTTTCGCCCGAGACATCCTCAACAAATTATCAAACAAAATTACGCTACCGAGGACCCCCACAGACATACATTATGGCTGGAATGATGATAGCTGAAAAGAAACATGTGAGAATCATGTTGGTGGCCGTTCCCTGCGCGCCCCCTCTGATGTCGAGAAAATGACACGCCTGCTGCGCCGTGCGAGCCTGCAACGGATAGAGACCGCACCCCACGCGCACCCCCCTCTGTTATCGAGATTTTGCCACGCCTGCCGCGCTCTGCGCGCCTGAAACGCATAGAGACCCCATGTGCACCCCCTCTGGTGTCGAAAATTCCCACGCCTGCCATGCCATGCGCACATGCAACGCATAGAGACCGCACCCCCTGCGCACCCTCCTGGTGTCGAAAAAATGCCGCGCCTGCCGTGCCCTGCGCGACTGCAACGCATAGAGACCGCACCCCCTGTTCACCCCCTCTGGCGTCGAGAATTCCCACGCTTGCCGCGCCCTGCGCGCCTGCAACGCATAGAGACCGCACCCCCTGCGCACCCTCCTGGTGTCGAGAAAATGCCGCGCCTGCCGTGCCCTGCGCGCCTGCAACGCATAGAGACCGCACCCCCTGTGCACCCCCTCTGGTGTCGAGAAAGTGCCACGCCTGCCGCGCCCTGCGCGCCTGCAACGCATAGAGACCGCACCCCCTGCGCACCCTCCTGGTGTCGAGAAAGTGCCGCGCCTGCCGTGCCCGCGCCTGCAACGCATAGAGACCGCACCCCCTGTGCACCCCCTCTGGTGTCGAGAAAATGCCACGCCTGCCGTGCCCTGCGCGCCTGCAACGCATAGAGACCGCACCCCCTGCGCACCCTCCTGGTGTCGAGAAAATGCCGCGCCTGCCGTGCCCTGCGCGCCTGCAACGCATAGAGACCGCACCCCCTGTGCACCCCCTCTGGTGTCGAGAATTCCCACGCCTGCCGCGCCCTGCGCGCCTGCAACGCATAGAGACCGCACCCCCTGCGCACCCTCCTGGTGTCGCGAAAATGCCGCGCCTGCCGTGCCCTGCGCGCCTGCAACGCATAGAGACCGCACCCCGTTTCACCCCCTCTGGTGTCGAGAATTCCCACGCCTGCCGCGCCCTGCGCGCCTGCAACGCATAGAGACCGCACCCCCTGCGCACCTGCTGGTGTCGCGAAAATGCCGCGCCTGCCGTGCCCTGCGCGCCTGCAACGCATAGAGACCGCCCCCCCTGTGCACCCCCTCTGGTGTCGAGAAAATGCCCCCTGCCCTGCGCGCCTGCAACGCATAAAGACCGCACCCCCTGCGCACCCTCCTGGTGTCGAGAAAGAGCCGCGCCTGCCGTGCCCTGCGCGCCTGCAACGCATAGAGACCGCACCCCCTGCGCACCCTCCTGGTGTCGAGAATTCCCACGCCTACCGTGCCCTGCGCGCCTGCCACGCATAGAGACCGCACCCCCTGCGCACCCTCCTGGTGTCGAGAAAGTGCCGCGCGTGCCGTGCCCTGCGCGCCTGCAACGCATAGAGACCGCACCCCATGTGCACCCCCTCTGGCGTCGAGAATTCCCACGCCTGCCGTGCCCTGCGCGCCTGCAACGCATAGAGACCGCACCCTCTGCGCACCCTCCTGGTGTCGAGAAGATGCCACGCCTGCCGTGCCCTGCGCGCCTGCAACGCATAGAGACCGCACCCTCTGCGCACCCTCCTGGTGTCGAGAGAGTGCCGCGCCTGCCGTGCTCTCTCTCTCCTTCTCTTCCAGCCGCGGGTGCAGCGCAGCAGGGAAGAGAAGGAGAGGGAGGAGGAGGAGACGCGGGCGAGACGCGGAAGGGAAGAAAACCAGAACCCCACGAAGCATGTGGGGAAAAAACGTTTCGCTCTAGACATCCGGTCAAAAAAAAAAAAAAAAAAAAAAAAAAATCGAGACATCCTCAAAATTCCTGAGCGCGGGACGCTGCACGCGCGAGACATCCTCGGAATTCCTGCGAGCGGGACGTGAAAACAAGCATTTCGCCTGAGACATCCTCCGATTCTGGCCCCCCCACAAGGCCCCCGCTCGAGACATCTCCCAATGTTGCAAAGCCAGCGTTTCGCCCGAGACATCCTCAGCTAATTAAGAGAGAAAGAGAGAAGAAGGGGAAAAAAATAAAAAATACAAAAAGGAAAAAAAACACAAAACAAAACAAAACAAAACAAAACAACAAAACAAAACACAAAAAAAAAAAAAAACAACAACAAAAAAAAACGCTCGAGACATCCTGCCAAAATCTAAGGAAATCCTGGAGAAAAAAAAAAAAAAAAAAAAAAAAAAAAAAAAAAAAAAAAAAAAAAAAAAAAAAAAAAAAAAAAAAAAAAAAAAAAAAAAAAAAAAAAAAAAACGAATTAGTTGAGACATCCTCTAAATTCATGCGCGCGGGACGCGGCACGCGCGAGACATCCTCGGAATTCCTGCGAGCGGGACGTGAAAGCAAGCATTTCGCCTGAGCGTCCTCTGAATTCTGGCCCCCCACGAGGCCCCCGCTCGAGACATCTCCCAATTTTGCAAAACCAGCGTTTCGCCCGAGACATCCTCAACAAATTACGGGCGGGGGAAAGAAAAGCGTTTCGTTTCGCTCGAGACATCCTATCAAAAGTCAAGGAAATACCCTATATATAATGAAAATGATAACAATAATAATAATAATATAAATAATAGTAATACTAGTAATGATAGCAATAGTACTAATAATACTAATAATACTAATACTAATAATGATAATATAATACTAATAATAATAATTAAAAAAAAATAAATATAAAAAAACT